CATGAGACTAATATGGAAGTTTTGGAAGCTGCATTGCTATTTCCTTCTATATTTAATATTGGAACCCTTTTGAGATTCTTCTGTCGCTCTGTTGAAGCTTCAGGTGTATCCTGAAATGCATGCTTAGCTGCCATATTAAAATATTCCTCTCAGCCGAGAGCAGATGACTGTATGTTCCTTAAGCAATAAACAGGCTAAGCCTCACTAACTCATGGCTGCATAAGAAACCTGGTTGAATCAGTAACTGGCTGGTTCATTACCTCTACATAGTGCAATGAGGAAAGCTGTTCCAATGCTTTAGTTAATCCAAGTGTTCTTTGCCACAGTGCTATTAAAGAAGATGTTCAGTCCCAGTTTCAGAATCAATGCAGTCATAAGAACATAAGAATGGCCCTACTGGGTCAGACCAAAGGTCCAACTATCCCAGAATCCTGTCTTCCGACAGTGGCCAGCACCAGGCGCCTCAAAAGGGGTGGACCGAAGACAATGATCAAGCAATTTGTCTCCTGCCATCCTTCTCCAGCCTTTGAAAAACAGAGGCCAGGGGCACCATTCCTTACCCCCTGGCTAATATCCTTTTATGGATATTAATTTATCCAGCTCTTTTTAAAACTCTGTTATAGTCCTAGCCTTCACAGCCTCCTCTGGCAAGGAGTTCCACAGGCTGACTGTGTGCTGTGTGAAGAAGAACTTTATTTTATTAGTTTTAAACCTGCTACCCAAACTTGGTAGGTTTCTCATCAGAAAGGTGGCAGATGCTTATTCAAATCCTCATCAGCCAGAGGGAGCTGGGAACTGGGAGTCTCCAACATCCTGGGTGAACACCTAACCCTGGGGTTAAAGATGACTACTGCTCTCCTATTTTGTATGGAGTTAGGTCCATTGAGCATGGCTACTAAATTAGGGTCCCCCATGCAGCTTAGGTGGCTTCATGTCTATCTTCCCAGGGTTTCTGTATTCCAAGTGGAGATAGGTGCCTCTCTACAGCCTGGACTCAGGTGTCTTTCTCTGCCAAAGAGGTGGGGCTTATAATATACCCCTCTCCTGGGCATCTCTCATTTGGCAGCTCCCTCCCTGTGTGGATCTCATTCTAAAGTGTTCATTTCTCATTCATTGTATGGGGCGCATAGGTGCCTACCTCAGGCTCTATAAATTGCAGTTTTGTTCTGTGATTTGCTAGGTGCCTAAAAGTAAGGTGCAGTGTCACAATGCCTAATTAGATTACAATGTAAACACAGTAATTAAAACATTGGCAGCTGGTCTACACAGGGACAGCTCAGAGTACCAGTTTTCCCAAAACTATTCCACTAAACAAACATAGCAATAGACCCACTGGCATTGTGCATGGTACAATGTATAGCATGTACTATACATTTTGATATTTCTATCTCTAATCGTCTCACCCCATTGTGCGCTGCTGAGGATCAGGCCTCTATATTTGAGGAACGCTGCTTGCACTTCTTCAAGAGAGATATATTACTGGAGTTCTGTCCTTCAGATTTTAAATGATAACATATACATAATAAGGATTTAAATATAAGATTAAAAAAAACTCCTCTCTGCTTCAGCAGTTAACTTCACAAATCAGAAGTCTGTCCAGCTTGACCTCAGTTAAGACAGTGGAATCTGCAGGAACAGCTTTCTGGCACTGAACAAGGTGTTAAAACATATTCTGGAATGTGACTCAAGAAAATGAAAGCAATTGGTTGAAAGTCTGAGCATGAAATTGGTTATGTACGAAGTGAAGGATTTCAAGTATGAATGTGTGTGTGTTCTTGCATGTGCTGAGGAGAGTAGGATTTGCACAGGAGACAAGGGAGAGCTTTGTGTACAGTGCTCACTCTGACACAGCTCAGCCTGTTCTCTTTCTCACTTCTGACTCCACAGGAACATGCAGTGGCTCTTCATTCCCACTCTATTCACCATCATATATATGCAACAGGTAAGCTTTCTCGAAAGATTTTTCCCCTCTCCCTTGAGCGTTTAAAAGTTTTAACAATTAAAACTTTGTAACAAAATAAAACAAACTCAAGCAAATACCAGGTGCAGAATAGAAAGCATTTTTTTTCACCAAATTTGCCATTTATTCATTGCACAGTTATAATTGATATTTTCCTCTCAATTCAGTTCATTGCTAAGATTAGGTTTTTGGAGGGTTTTAAATTCTCAGCGACCTCAACTCTCACTCTGTGGGTTTTTAAGTGGAAATTATTGACTGACACAATGTAATTAAACAGCTTTCTCTCATTCATATTCCATGCACTGATTGGTCTCCAGGGCTCTATGAGCTGGTTTTGCAAATTAGCAAGGAGCTCTGGTGTTATGAAACTGTTTCTTGAATAGAGAAATTTTGCTCCATCCACTCGTTTCAAAGGCTAGCTCCATTAAAAAAATACCTTTCAAATGTGTTCTTTTCCTCTTCTGGAGATGAAGTTAAATCTTCAAGTGGACAGTTTTCAAAACAAGTACACTTTGGTCTTAATTTATTTATCTCATTCATAACTTGCTTAATCTAAAAAACTACCCAGCAAGAGTTTGCCACACAATAGTCTCCTTTTTTAGTCTGTCCATAGGATTGGCAAAACATGTGCTGCAGGTTTCTGTGATGTGGACACAATAGTTATATCAAGAACTTTACAGACAAGTTTTAAATTTTTATCCTAACTTGATAGAACTTTGAACATTTTTTAAGTACACAGTTTTATTCAATGGCAGCTGAGTTTAGCCTACCACGGGATGTTTTTTCATAATTTGTTTTTCTTGCTGCGAAGCTTCAAATATCTGAGTTGGTCTTTCTTTCTTTGCTCTGAACATTTTGACATATAAAAGCCTAAATAGCTACATTAATGGAAGCAATATTTGTTGAACCAGAGAGTATGAAGGAATCCTGTTAAGAGTACACAGATACATTTTGAAATAAGATACACTTGATTTTAAACACACAGACAATACAGTGTTTAATTCAGAACCTAGCCAAATTTTACAAGAAAGATAATTGTTTTGAGAAAAAAAGATTTCGGTAAATGTTGAACTGTGCTGAGGTGGAGTTTCCTAAAGTAATCATCCAGTCACTTACTGATGTTTAAGAACAACTGTTTACCTCACATCTTTCTTCCAGAGACAGCAACTTTATGAAGCTTTAATAACTAACACCAAAAGTACAGACTAATTTAATTATCTGGCTGATTAAAAAGTTAACAAAGTTGTTCCTTAAAATATCAGTTATAAGAGCTAGTGATTTATCATATTACTATTATGTTTATATGGAGAATGAATGAAAATAAATAATGGAATGATTAAAAACACATTTATTAAACTATGCCCTGAACACAACACACCCTGCTGTGAGGTATGGCATAATATTTCAGCTCTCATAGCAGTTAATTTTGTTGAACAGGTGTGTATCTTACAAAAATAGTTTTAGTCAAATGACCGTGGAAGTCATGTTGGAATCTAGTAAAGCGTTATAGGTTATAGACTTCAAAGTGCGGTGGAATGTTTGAAAAATGATAGCTAACAAAATGACTATAAATATAAAAAATCAGCAGGGAAACACCATTAGGAAGAGTCACTTATTCCTTGTGGAGAATTGGAATTCAGTTATGCTGCTGATTATTGTGGTATGCAAAGCAGAGTTCTGCAGCAGCTTCCAGTTTAAAAAATGGGAATTTGTATGGAATTAAATAGGAAAATGAATAATATAACTATTACAATACTACTTGGTACTTTGATATTGTATTCAGTGTCTTCCATAGACTGCTAAAGTTTTCTGTTAATGACGGGATATATTGCACAACAGAATTTGTTTAGAGAAAAATAAGTTGATTGCATTTAGCTGTGCTTAGATACTCTGAAAAATGTGGAAGATGGATTAGGTTTTTAGCACCTATGTGGTAGCAGAGGCTTTTGTCAGTGGGGAATGCCCATAGCTTATTTTCCTCTTCCTCTTAATGGGCAAGGGTGGAGGTTTCTTTAAGTTGGTGGAGCTGCTAGTACTCTGTTCCCAAACCCATTAGATCATGCTGCCCACCAGCTGCTCTATTGGTCCCTACCCATATCAATCTATTCACCACTGCTAAATAAACACATTAAAATCTAGGGCTGTATTTAAGAGCAGCAGTGAAATAATTAAGGTTTGTGTTTTAACATTAATATGCCATTGAAATAATCAGAAACAATGCACTGGTCTCAGAAAAGTGTAGATTTTAAAAAAACAACAGTACTGGCTCATTTCTGGCAGGTTCTCTCTTCAATCAAAAGCCAGAATCTGCTTTCCTTTAAAGTGAAAACTTAAAAGCCAACACAGCAATAGGAAAAGTGACCTGCCTTTTCTTTCTTCATACACCAATAACCAAATTATCAAGCTGTGAGTGCTGAATTTTTAAATACTGGCTCCAATGTAAGTGGCAGAAAAGACACCATTCAGCATCCACATTAGAGGGCTGACAATCTATAGATTAGGGCTGAGTACATTTGGTAGAAGTTATCAGTAGTCTGAAAACCTACAACACTAATTTAAAAACTTTCATCTGATTCTAACTACACAGAGTTTTATTCTATTGAAAGAAGAGACAGCTTAATTCTCTTTGGGTACATCTACACTACACAGCTATTTCGGGATACCAGAGGTATCCTGAAATAGCTATGCCATGTCTACACAAGCCGCCCATTATTTCAAAATATTGTTTTGAAATAACGGGTACGCTATTTCACTGCTATGGTATAGACGTGCCAAATTTCAAAATAAGCTATTTTGAAATAGATTCAAGATGATATGCAATTTGCGTAGCACAAATTGCATATCTTATTTCGAGTTTAGGGTGCTGTGTAGATGCACCCTTTGAAAAAACAGGTCAGATTTGCTGTGGGTATAACCCTCTTCAGAGTGCTAAAGCTAGGGTTGAGTTTGGACTATTGTTTTTTACTTTTTCATCTTGTAAAATTTTACAAAAGCTTCAGTGGCTTTATGAAATTCACTTCTTTCATTCTTATTAAAGTTTATAGTATACTAGCTATGCTTACAGTCATCCAGCCCTCAAAAATCCAACCATATGTAAGTTTTTCTGCAGGGCACAAAACAATGGCCATCGAGAAGCAAAGCCTGAGGAAAAATCTGCAGAAGTCAGCGAAGTCCATCAGCGTAAAGAATTTTGTCACTGGCCATGCAAATGCCCACATGTGCCAACCTGCACTCCTGGGGTGAGCCTGGTAAAGGATGGTTGTGGATGTTGTAAAATATGTGCCAAACAGGCAGAAGAGATCTGTAATGAAGCAGATACTTGTGACCCTCACAAAGGACTTTACTGTGATTACTCTGCAGACAGGCCTAGGTATGAAACAGGAGTATGTGCATGTAAGTTATTCTTTCACATCCTATTATTGAAATTTCAAAGGGATATGGCTCTCTATAGTCCGACTCAAAAGAAAAAAAATCTTTTGGTTCAGGCTGCACAGTTCCTTTCCTGTGTATCACATCAATTCAGACATCCTTGTATTCACTCATTTACCAATAGGTATGTTTAAGGATGTAGTTGCACCGTTTTATACATCATTAGTCAAAGTGGGCCATAAGGTATATCTACTTATTTATAGACATTTGTGAGTAGAAACAAAGCAACCAATAAATACAATTTATCACAGGTAAAAGCTGTGTGGGAGTGGGAAAGGACAGAACTCTCCTCTGCAGCACTTTAACAATGGAAGTACTGGGTGCAGTATATACTGCAGGTTACAGTAGTGAAGAACAATCCTGCCTTACCACTTGGTATCCATTAACTGCATTTTATAGCTTGTAGATGGGTTATTTTGCTCTTTCCCATTTTCAGATATGATAGCAGTAGGATGTGAGCTCAATGGAGTGTATTATGCCAATGGCCAGGCCTTCCAGCCTAGCCCACTTTATACATGTCTCTGTATTAGTGGTGCAATTGGATGCACACCTGTATTCACCTCAAAGTCAGCAATACACCAATGCATCCTGGTCAAGGGCAGAAAAATGCCAGGACAGTCCAATTGTGATCCTGGACAACAGAAAGAGCTACAATCAACAGCCAACAGCATAATGCCAGGTGTGCATAACTAGAATGGTAAACTATTTTCATACATAATACATTTTTAAACTACTGTATAACGTTATTTATAAAAAGAAGTGGTTAGATTTTCTTTTTACTGACATCTTGAGACCCTTCCGATCAATAGGAAATGGAGGCTTCTAGATTTTGGCTCAGCCTCATTGGTTATCAACAAAATATTCAGTCACTGCAAGGGGAAAACCGCCAACCTCCTTCTCTATTTTAGATTCACTCTATAAGAATATGGAGCAATTTATAATTTCTTGGCTTCTAAATTGTAATATAATCTGGTTCAAATTATAATGGCCATTTCTTGGTGAAATTATTTGTCTTCTGCTTCTAAGATTAGAAGAATAAAATAAAACCAAGGGTAGTTTGAGGCTCAAGAGCACACCAGACTCAAGTTTTACAGATATACAGGAAGGAGCATGCAAGCAGGCAAACCAACCCAGGCTATAGCAAATTTATACACACATGCTGGTGGTTAGCATCACAAAATCTGAAATTCAGTTTGGACAAGCTTCCAAGAAGCATGTGTGCGCATGCAAGCTATCCTAAAAATGGAAGCTCACCCACATCAAAAGATACATTTGAAACTTAAACCAGCCATGAAGGATAGTAATTCCTTTATATAGAATTTATCCAAAGTTTGGAATAAAACCATATGCAGTGGGAAAGGCACTCAGTAAAGCAACTGAGTTCAAGTGAATGAATTGCACGCTTTTAGGGAACGTTAACCTAACTAAGGAGAGACATAACCATCTGGAATGCTTGCAACTAAAACATTTAAACCAATTAAATGCATTCACAAATTAGAACTATAATGCCTAATGCCATATACTTGCACAGCAGCAAGATGTTGTTTCTTCCTAGCACTTTAAAAAAACACTTTTATTGAATGAATAGCAACACTCCAACGTGCACTCTGAATTCAAGAATTTGGATAAACTGTGGAAAACAATGAGAGCACCACTGAAAAGCTGGCTCAGTTCACAGGACTGAACATTGCAGCTGCATGTTTTCAGGGGCTGGGAAGTATCACTGGTTGCTATACATGCTGAGGGTCCAGGCAGTTCTTCAGCTTATACAGAACCTCTGATTGGCTGTTTTTCCCCAAGACACAAGTGAAGGGGAAAGGCAGTCAATGAAGAGCAGCATTTTTGCCCCATTAAATAGTTGTGTTTTTCATCCAATCTTGTAGAAAGATCTGAAGATCCATAGAGAGTTGGCAGGTCTAAACAGACCTAGAAATTGCTTCCAATCCTTTGCTGGCACATCCATTGAAAAATTTTCCCCATTTGTCAAAGCCTTTCTGGATTTCAGTACAATGGAGATCAATCACCCTGTTCTACAGGGCTCAGTGCACTGAGGGATTCCATTTCAAGAACCAGGCTTTTAAACAGTCATTTAAAATTTTTTTCAAAATGGATGCTCTTGCCTTAACATAATGTAACCAATGGTTTAAATTCAATTTGTACGCAGTGTGCATGAAGTCATGCAGTGGCTTGTTAGATCTAAGACTGTTTTAATTCTCTCTTCCTTTGTTAATGCTGGTAGCAAATGCTAAGCTTAATTTTATTGCTTTTACTGTTCTTTCAGCTGCTTTCCTTAAGCATTCTCTGTTTAGAGAATTTCTAAACAAAGATTATACCTAGATCATACATAGAAAATGTACTGCATACGAGCAACTATGTAACCTCCCTTTATTTATTGCAGATTTGTGCCAGGCTTTTAATCTGCTTCATGCACTGAGATCTTTAACCTGCTGTCTCCCTTCCAGGTACCCTCATAATTCTGGCCTACCTTCTTAAATACATGTGCAGATTTCCAACCATGTGAACCCTTCTTGAGTATTTTGCCCAGATGTGTCAGTTATTTTAAATCTTATTTTATACCCTTTACCTATTTGTACTTCTATTAGGTAAAGAATAGATTTATTAGCACCAAATATTTGGAAATGACTTGAAAAAAAATCATTAATACAAGAAAAGTTACAGATCAAGGTTTGTTTACATATGTTCATATAACATTTCACAGCTGCACCTGGTCTACAGTCTACATAGTTTTTAAAATGTGTTCCTCACATATAGAATATTCAATAGCAGTTCTTCACAAAGGATTTCGGGTTCTCATAACATTAACCTGTAGGGCCACAGAACATAGTCATGTTGAGATTTTTCAAAGCTGCCTCAGATTTGAACCCCAAATACCAATTTTAATGGAAATTGGTGTCCAGATTTTTTAGTCAACTTTGCACACTCTCAGCCTCACCTTTCAGAAATACCAAGAGAAACCATGTCAACAGAAATCATTGTCTACAACAATAATGCTATTTTAGGCTATTTTTAAATATTTTGTCTATCTCGCTGTGTTGCAATATGTATAATATATTGTTCTGTCTCAGCTTACAGAAGTCTGCCACTTGTCTTGAAGGAGAAGTGCTTAGTACAGGCAACTTCTTGGACACCTTGTTCCAGAACCTGTGGCATAGGAATATCCAACAGAGTGACCAATGAGAACAGTAAATGTGAAATGAGAAAAGAAGAGAGACTGTGTTTGATTCAACCTTGTCAGTCCAATATACTGAAGACTATAAAGGTAAATTCTGGTGAAAAATACCTTTCTATTATCTCTGTTACCTGAGCCTTCCTGAAATACAAGACTTATCTTGTCTTTATCCCATAGCAGTGAATTACAGAAGTAGATTTTAAAGAAAGTCACAAATCTGAGGATCATTACTAGTAGCTTGCTGTCTTATTATTCTAAAAGAATCTCAGTCTGACTTAGGCAAAGAAAAGTAAGAAAGCTTTAAAAAAGTAGGTAATGTTTCAAATGTTACCTTTTAAATGCATACCAATCTTTGTTATTTCTTCTGTTGTTTCTTTGTACATGAAGTTTCAAGCTTTGTTTTGTTTTACATTTAAGATTCCAAAGGGAAAAACATGTCAGCCAACATTCCAGCCTTCCAAAGCAGAGAAGCTAGTTTTTTCTGGATGCTCAAGCACACAAAGCTACAAACCTACTTTCTGTGGTGTGTGTCTGGACAACAGATGTTGCATACCTAACAAATCCAAAATGATCACTATACAGTTTGACTGCCCCAAAGAAGGCTCCTTTAACTGGAAGATGATGTGGATCACATCTTGTGTTTGTCAGAGGATTTGTAGTAATCCAGGAGATATATTTTCTGCACTCAAGTTATTATAAGTTATACCATGGATAGCAGTGTATCTCCAGGATAGTAGCACATTCATAGTTTTGAAGAGTTAGCAAAAGAGAAAACCCTTCCACCAAAACCAAACCGGTTGGCATTCTTCTGTTAAATACTCTGAGAACATGGTTTAAAAACAACATCTCTGTGCATAAAAACTGGCACATAAAAATGTAAGAGTTAAACTGTTTGAAACCCTGAGTATACATGTGAGGTACACATCAGTTAACACAGGTACAGTCATGGTGTGAAAACTTGTAATTTAAAAAATACACAGGAATGCAAGGATGAGTTTGCTCCATATTTATACAAAAACTTGTAGAAATAGGTATTTTTCCTCATCCTCAATAGAAATTTAAATTAAAGAAACACTGAAGCAATTAAGTAGAGAAAGGAATCTTAACTTTTCTGCTATAACATTTGATCATTCTTGATTTACCAGATAGCTATTCTTACAGCTACTGATACACTGTTATGAAAAAATCAATCTTTTGTGAGCTAGAAACAAAATGTAGCATATTCTAGCATACACTACAAATTAATTTTAAGCTCAGATTGATTTGTGTAACAATTCTTGTATTTTACATTTCAAGATGCTGTGAATATAAAAAATATATTTGCACAGGTACAAATAAAAATATTTGTCAAGACGTAGGTTAGTTCACTTTATCACCAATGATAAATTTCTAAGCTTCAGTTTTAAATGTATACAATTTGCCTTTTCATAGCTGTCATGAGTGGGGAACAATCTTATAAAAGGAACAAACACTACATATACAATGAGAAGTAACCTCATGATCTTATGCTGCAACCACCTGTGTTTCCATTCTCTCCTCATTATTTTGCATACTATTTATCCTAGACTGCTTTAGCCTTGGGGATAGAAAACCCATGGGTGAAGTCCTGGACTCACTGAAGACTATGGCAAAACTCCTGGTGACTGTAATAGGGATAGCTTAAAATTCTATGTCTTTTGTCATAAAGTGCTAAGTGATAGCAGAACTTTTAACCGGTTTCGCTGGAGTGACTTTCAAAATGCCTTCTTCCTAACAAGAATTGCATCAACAAATATTTGTCTTGTGTGTTTCTGGTCTCATACATTGAAAGTTAGAATACTATTGTGTATGGTAATCCTGACAATGGAGCTATCTTGAAAGAAACCTGTAATTAAACAAATGTCATTTTATGGGGCCATACATTGTGGCTTAATGCTGTTTTAAGACAAGAGTCATGCTTGGCAGACAAATTCTGAAAATCTGTATATTTTATTCCCTAAAAATATAGGAGTTTGAGACAACTGTTTATAAATATAGTCTGATCATAATAAAAATCTATTTAATTATATATTTAAAATATACTGCTATTTTAGTTAGGTTCTTTTCAGAATACAATCTTTATTCTCCAAACAATCCACATTATAAGTACATATGATCACAGTTATTGGATCCTCATAATTAGTGCAACCTCAGGTTCATGAAAGGCAAACTATTATTATGCAATAGAATAGTATTGTACTTGATGCATTCATTTTGACACATTATTCCTGATATTGCTAGTGGTGATATCAACTTGGACAATTTTAGTTCAATTGCATCTAAATACAATGATGTAACACACGTGATAGAAAGTTTATTTCCAAAATGATAGTCTAGGATATTAGAAACTTAAGAAACAAGACTCACTAGATACTTCTTTCCACCTCAGAAAAGGGTCAGTAGGATTTCCCTTCCCTCATGTATCTTATATTAAGGGAGACTTTTTTCCAAAGCAGGAATCAATTTAATTTAGCTGAACTTGGGTCCAAGAAGTTTGCCAATTCCATTTTGGGTTGTTATAATTCCTTCTATCTATTCTTTTGACAGACATGACCACTGCTTGCTCTGCTAGCGTGCAGTATGTGTTGATCCCTTTTGCGCAGGCTGAACACCTGATACAACACTCCCAGTCAGCCTGTGGTACCTATGAAATGACTAGTCTTAGCAGCTTCACAAAAGCCATCCAATTAACCTAGGTGATTTGCTATTTTGCAAATAAAAGCAATTCTTCCTCTGTTACGTAGCTATCTTCAGTCTTGAGGGATCTGTTTTAGGCACATCTTTAGTGGCATCTAGCTGACTATATTCCTCTATTAGATCTGACAAGGATGATATAGCTTCAGAGAAACAGCTTTGCTCCATCCCATCAACATGCAGGTAATGGTGAAGGTGAGCCTATAAGAATAGACACAGATTAACTATATTCCCTTCTTGTTCACAAGGAGTTAGATTAACCTAGCATGATACACATTATTGTTTGGCCTGCCTTCAGAGGGCAAGCACGGTTATAAATGGACTTAAAGATTGTCTAGATTCACTAAATCCTTTGCTGAAATGCTACTTAGTAACTTCCTGTTGCAATACCCTGGGGCATGACCACGCTATAGCTGCTACAGCAATACAACTATAGTACCATAGCTGCCTCTTACATCAATGAAAAGGAGTTTTCCATTGATGTAGGGAATTCATCTGTATGAGAGGCAGTAGCTAGGTTGACGGAAGAATCCTTCCGTTGACCTTACTGCATCTGCACCAGCGATTAGGTCAACTTAACAGCAGCGCTCAGGACATGACATTTTTTACAACCCTAAGACATGGGCTACACTAAAGTGGAAGGTTGCCTTAAGATACGCAACTCTAGCTACATTAATTACTTAGCTGGTGTTGACATATCTTAAATCGATGTTCATACAGTGGGAGGTCAATGGGAACAAACAATCCCGTTGGCTTCCCTTATTCCTCATGAGGAACGGGAGTACTGGCGCCATGGAGGTGCTCTCTGAGTTGGAATTAGTGGGTCTTCACTACACCTGCTAAATAAAACCCTGGAAGATCAATCGCAGTAGCATTGAATTTCCGCAAAATGTAGACATGGTCTGAGTGACATACTAGATCAAGCTAATATTTAAGTGTAAACAAGATATAGACTTGTATAGAATGATATTCCTAATTTTACACATTTGATGCTATAAATTCTGTGTCTTGGGGGAGTAAGGAGGGCGTCTTGAACAATGCTTCTAGTCAGAGCAGTCACACACCTCATCCGTCATTCTATTTTACTCTAAATAAAGATCATTAAGGACTTGTTCCTTTGTGTAGCAGCTAGTTGAAAGGATTCACCAATACATAGTCAAGAATCGTAAGTTATGTCTATACTGCAGCAAATGATGATTACTGGAGCGTGAACTGCAGACCATACCACAGAGCGGCACACTAGCTCTCCTGTGTGGATGCTACTAGCATGAAGTAAGTACCTAGTTCATGTTAACACCATTCTAAACAGAGAACACAAACTAGTTTGGCCAGCAGCATCCATATGGGACAGGTAGTACATGACATTTGGGTACACTCTTGCAATTCACCATCCAATAATCCACACTATGGCAGTGTAGGCAAGCCCTTATTGTCATTTCTGACCAAGCCCTTTATATTGAAAGCCATGTGCCAGCTGTAGTTCATAAGTATTTTTTTCAGTACCACGAGAGAACAAGGTACATAAGAGGAAAGCAATAAATGTTTTATTATTGAAATTCCTGATTTGTGGCTTTTACCCAGGAAAACTTATGTCCCAATAAATCTTTAGTCTCCAAGGTGACACATGACTCCTGGTTAAAATGAAAATTTAAAAAACCTGAGCCATAAACGTTAATTTTTCTATTGTTTGCTTCGACAAAGCCAAAGGTTTGTCATGGCAAAGGAACAAGAAAACAGACCAGACTTAATTAAAATGTTTTAGGGTATATTTAGAAGTGTTACACTTTCTAACATGTTCCCAGCTATTGAGGAACAATTCAGATATAGATGCATTATCAAGACACTTATTCTGAATACTAATAAAAAAAATACATCGTTACCAGAAAAGGTAGGTACTCGACACTGCTTTGCATTAAGAGTGCAAAGTTTTATGTATTTAAATAAAGCAATATATGCTTCCTGTAATGTAACAGGATTAGTACCAACTTATATTTAGGACAGCTTTCTTTGAGCTTTGACTGAAATCTGCTTTTCTCCTTCACTCCTAAATAAAACAAACGTTTTGAAGATACTACTGCTACTTTAAAGTACACCAAGATGTTATGCTGCTTTTCACAATACCTTTTTCTTGTAGAGCTTCATGAATCTGTCCTTGAGCTCTATAAAGGTTGGTTTCACACACGTGTTGTTTGCTAATGCCAACAGTGAGTGAGAATGGCCCACAGGAGGTATGGAACATAGGCCAGTTTTCCAGCCCTCTTGATTCCATGAGACAAAATGAAGGGAAGGCTTCAATCTGCAATATATACATTCATAGCTAAAATATAAGCAAGCAGCAAAGAGGCATAGCACAATGTTAACAGTTCTTTTTACTTTGCTAAAACACACCATCTCAAAAGCACCTGCATATAAAATTTCAGGAAAAAAATTATAATTAACCTTTGGCATTACCCTTTCAGACTTTATAACACAAAATTAGCAGTTTAATTAATTTAACTTTAAAAACCACAGGAGAACACTATTTATAAAATAAACTAATGAATTATTATTAAATGTCACTATTAAAAACAAAGCTACCTTCAAGAGATCGGTATCATAAAACACTTCACTCACACTGTTTCTCAAAAGAGGAAGCTTATCTGTAGCCAACTAATTGGACATAGTATAATACAATATGCTGTCTGTGGTATCTATTGTATGTCAAAGTTTAGAATGTAGGCCATTTGCTGGTGCTGGAAGAAAACAGTTATCTTTCAGTTGCTGCAGTCTTCAAGATGCTTTGTTCACATGGATTCCACTGTTAGTGCACATAAGACTGGATTCCTCTGTCCATTCTCTTGGAGTTGACCAAGTGCCTTAGATGTACTTGCACCTGAGCATGTGAGGGCATAAAGAGTGAAACTGACCCAACTATCCTTCAATTCTTTTGTTAACAATGAATCCCAGAGAAGGACTCATAAGGGAAGGATTACAGATCCTGGAGTCATGTGGATAATACATCTCAAAGAACCACAGCTACTGTAAGGTAAGTAACCATTCTTCCTTCAGGGAGTGTCCACATGGATTTCACTCTAGGGCTATGTCTACACAGCACTATTAGTCCGAAATAACACACACTGCATCTATACAGCAAGCAGTTATTTCAACATTATGACAAAATAGTGCTGAGCTAGAGAACTTCTTACTCTGACTCCTGTAACCCTCATTTCTAGGAGTAAGGAAAGTTAGAGGAAAAGTCCTCTAACTCAGACTTCCTGCTATGTAGACAGCGTCAAAAGATGAAACAAGCTATTTTGACTTAAGGTACACAATTGCAAAAAGCACAGTTTACATTACATAGCGCCTTTTTTCGAAAGGGCGCTTTCCAAAAAAGGCATTCTTCCTCGTAAAACAAGATTTTTCTGTGGTTGAAAAAGCTGCCACGTTCTTTCGATTTACTTTCGAAAGAACACGGCAGCAGTCTAGACGCAGGTAAAGATTTTTCAAAAAAAGGCCACTTTTTTTTTTGATAAATCACTGTAGTCTAGATATACCCTAAGAGTCGTACTTAAAAAACAGTGCAGGACAGCCCCACTAAAATGGCCATCTACCAATCAATAGTGACTTGTGAACATGTGGACTGTGGCTGCCTTACTTATTATCAGTAGGGACATTCCTCATAACCATACTACAAGCTGACTGAGCTTTAGTAGAATAATGCAGTCAACTGTTTCTAACTTAGATAGCTTATAACATGTTTTTATGTTCCTGAAGAGCAATTTTGGGTTTTAAGCTTTTTAAAATATTTATTGCACAGTTATATTCAAATAGGGAGAAGTCAGACAATAAGCAGGGCTCTTACTACATCAAGTGCAGGAAGTTTAGCTTTCCCTGATGTTAAGTGAAACTCGCAGGAAAAAAACTGGGAGATAAACTGAACAATTTTCTCACGAAACATCTTTCTGACAGATCTTCATTTTTTCTGAAGAATTTTTTTTTTTTTAAAAACAATATACAGATAACTATTTGGTTATCACTTGATCATAACCACAGATTTGGTGTGGACCCTCAGAAAGGGTCACTACTTACAAAGCTTTCTAAACCTATGTCATTAGGAAGCACAGAGTGGCATCTTTAAGCTCTTATGTATATTTTCTGTTCGTCAGTAATATTATTCCCCTCTCTCAAGTGCCTACAATAAACCTTTTTTGCAAATTTATTGTTGAAACTTTTCTTATCTTATGAATTAGGGATATCTCTATGAGCATTTAACAGCAGCATCTGTAATACATATTGTGCACAAACAAGCCATAAGTATAGATCATACCTTTCAATGTTCCTGCGAAGGTCTGAAACCTGTACATTTCCTCGAACCAGAAGTGCACAAGCAAGGTACAAGCTATGCTTTGGGTCTGCTTGAATCAACTGATGATCTTTGCTGAAAGCATCTGAAAACATCTGATCCAATCTAAATTAAGAAAAAAGTGATCTACTTTTATCAAACATGTTAAAGTTCTTCACTGATTCTATATCTTATAATTTAACAACAAGGAAATGGAAGAATTTCAGTTATTTTTAAGTATAAATTAGAGTGTCAAAAATATTCAAACAGTAGTACAAGCTGAGTGGCCTGTTTCAACCTACACCTTCTTATGGCCATCATTATTTGCCTGTCTTGGCACTCTTCTTAAGAGCACATTAGCATACAAATTACACCAAGTTCAGAAACTGTGGATAAGGGGGAGCAAGTTACATGTTAGTAACTTGAGTATTTCACTTTCACCAGTTGTGTCCCAGAGTTGGTGTAACCTGAACCTCAGTGGGTAGAAGATGGCTCAAGTTACAACATACTTAGACTTGCAGAATAGGGATTTTTGTCTCTGATCTTTGCCCTTTCCAGTTTGTTTGCTTTTCACATTTGACAGCAGTCTGTGTACTGTCAGATTCCCTTGTGTGTGGTTCTTTCACACAGCAAAAGGGAAGAGGAAAAAAATTGAAGGAAAGGGAAGATGTGAATATATAAAGCCAGAGGTATTGGCTGATAAACCTGAACAATTTTTTTTTTGAGAATTAACTAAGGGTACGTCTAGACTACATGCCTCTGTCGCCAGAGGCATGTAGATTAGGCTACCAGGCATAGGAAAATGAAGTGACAATTTAAATAATCGCCGCTTCATTTAAATTTACATGGCTGCCGCGCTGATCAGCTGTTTGTCGGCTCAGCACGATAGTCTGGACGCGCGGGTGTCGACATCAAAGGCATTTGTCGACCACCCAGGTATGCCTCCTGGGATGAGGTTTACCTGGGTGGTCGAC